AAAAAAAAAAGGATAAAATTTGTCAGTTTGGTACCAAGTAATTGAATAGATTATTATTTCAAGTCTTTTACTAGAAACTTACTTCTTCTACCTGCCCATCTTCAGCTCCATCTTTCTCTTTGTCTTCTTCTTCATCATCATCATCATCAAAGTCTTCTTCTTCATCTTCATCTTCTTCAGATGATGTATCCCCACTTCCATCGACTTGTAACACCAATGGAGCTTGTGTTTGAGCAGGCTGGGCCTGTGGTTGCTGTTGGCCAGTTGCAGTTATTTGTGCTTGGGCTGGTGTAGGTGCTGCCACTGTCGTAGGTATAACTTGAGTCTTATTTCCTGTAAATAAGATTTGCTGTGGCTGGATGATGACACCTGTCTGTGGTGAAATCCCTCCAGGAAGAGGAGCCAGTACCTAAGGCAAAAGAAAACCACGTAAGAGGAACAAGAGGGTCAAATATGGTACATAGAAATAGTCTTAGGATTCACCAGAAATGGTCACATCTCATACATAGTTAAATCTACCACAGTACAAAGGCAATGTTTAACTAGTATACTGACTCACTAAATTTCCAATTTATCATTCAAATTTCTGAAGGAAAAAGATTTTCTGAAGATAATTGCTTCATTTATTGAGCACTTACTAAGAATACGCCAGACATCAGGCCAAGATTTACACAAGTTTATCTGCTTGAGTAGGATGTGGTTAATTAATGCAAGCTCAATAACTTGCAAAGTTTACAGTCACTAAGAGGCAAAACTGAAACCTTGGCTTTCTGGTCCAGAGCCCACGCTCTTACTATTGCTACACTGCCTTCACATGAAGAACACTCAACTGAGAATCTGAAGACCTGGGTGAAGCAATATTGACACAGCAATGGCAAATCATTTAATCTCTCTTGGCTTCTGTCATTTCACTGTTAGACTAGAACCAATGGTTCTCAACCCTGGCTGCAAATTAGAACCATCTGGTAGCTTAAAAAAAAAAATGCTGATACCTAGGTTTTCCCCCTAATATTCTGATTTAGTTAATGTGAGATAAAAGCTATAGATTTAAAGCACTCCAGATGATTCTATCACACAACTATAGCTGAGAACCAACAGACCAGATAATTTTTAAAGTTCCTCCCTTCTGTATCTATAATTCTAAGGTAAACCGCAACTCAAAAACAATGTATTAACAAATATTACTATATGTATTATAATTCACATATTTGTAATTACAGTTATTAATAAATAAAGAGCACTGAACACCTGTTACCTGCCACTAGGTTCAAGGAATGCAAAAATCGTAGGATGTAGTATTTCCTTTAAGAAGCTTATACATTAATGGTATAACAAAGTAATAACTCAAAAAGATAGAAGATATAATAGAAATTATGAGAAACAGAAGAGAGTACCAAATTCAGCTTGGGGACAAGGTCAGGGAAGCATTCCTGGTAGGTAATATTTGACTTTGTTTGTGCTTTAAGGAGATTAGCCAGGTTTTTCTCATTGGTTGGTTGGTTTGGGGGAAGTGGAGGGAGTAGCTGGATGGAAGGCTAAAGGTAGCATTCTAAATAGAAAAGTAACATCAAGCGAAATCCAGAAGTGATAGCAGCACATAGTTTTAGAAAGACGTAAGTTGACTGGATTAATACTCCTGCTCTGATCTTGCTTCTATCATCATACTATTTTATATATACACTATATGTATACGTCTGTCTGTTTTTTAAAGTATCTAAGTTCCTCAAGAAAATAACCATTCGTTTTTGTCCTCACAGTGCAAGAGTGTAACACCTGGCACACAAGTAGATGCAAATATTTAACTTTGATCTAAACAGCACTAAAGCAAAGAATTGGGAGCATAGCAAAAAATAAACCTGAGGAGTTCAAAGAAACAAGATCCCAAAAGATCTTATAAACCATGTTGAGTTGTTTAGACCAGCAGTCTCCAAGATTTTTGGCACCACGAACCATTTTCATGGAAGACACTTTTTCCATGGACCAGAAAGGGGGGGTGGCCTGTAAGGTGATGGTTTAGGATGATTCAAGCATATTACATTTACTGTGCAAGGGTTGGCACCCCTGGTTTAGACTAAAAGAGTTTAAGATTTTTTTAGAAAGATGACTATAAATCAGTCAGGTTAGGAGGGCAAAAGACTAGAGGCAGGGAAATCAGTTAAGAGGATAATACAGTTATTTTTTAATGACATTATGACAGTATGAACTAAGGAAATGACAAGGAGAGAGAGAGAGGAGGGAGAGAGAGAGAGAGAGAGGAGGGAGAGAGAGAGAGAGAGAGAGGAGAGAGAGAGGGAGGGAGGGAGAAACTATTAAGAAGAATTGGTGGGACTTAATGATACCTTGGATACTGGAGGTAAGGGAAAAGGGAAAGAGAGGATTCCACACATCCTCTTCCAGAAAATACATAAGCATCATGAAACGAGAGTCCATGTCCTTGTTCACTCTTAAATTCCCAGCCCCTTATGAAAACCCCAACACTCAGTAACTGCTTGTTGAATAAAGGCCAAAGGACCAGCTTAGGAGGCTGGATGGAGAGTGCTGCCACTGACAAAAAAGCATATTCAGGGGGATGATGAAGGATGGGCAGAGACAATAATAATTTAGTTTTAAACACACTGAATCTAAGCCATGAGTCATACAAAAGAAATTTTAAATGACAGGGTCTGTGGCATTGGAGAAGAGTCTAAGAATTTGTAATACATACAGCCATGGGGAAAGAAAGGGGAACCAATCGGGGAATTCATACAGAAGAAAAAGAACCCCATGGTGATCATAAGGGAAGATTCTTTTACCTGTTGTATAACAGGAGCTTGTACTCCACCTGGTTGCATTTGTGGTATAACCTGTTGTTGTAGAACCACTGACTGCTGAGGCTGAATGATATATTGGGCACCATTGGCTGCTCTGACCACCTGAAGAAGCTGGCCTAAAGCAAAAAGCATGTATTCCAAGTTACCACTTTAGCAGTGACTATCTCAAAATAAACGAATTCACATTGAATGTCAAACCACCGAAGGCCCTAGAAATTATCAAGTAGGAAGTCTTACAATTTTATTAAGGGCTATCATCCGTACACAGTAAACTATAATCCTTACCCTTCCCTGACTTTCCTCCATGTGTCAAATACATTGCTTACAGTGTTTTATTTTCCTTATTTATCACTCTCATTTAGCTGTTTTCCAATAAGGTTTTAACAACAGATTATGAGTCTTGATTAAAAGTTTAAATTATCTTTGCTAACATGGTAGGAGTCAAGAAAGAGCAGTAAGATCAGACATTTCAGGGGCTGTTGGTTTCTAAAGCTTTAAAGAAATGAAAGCATAATAATTCATTTAATATCCTAAACCAAAGCACCATAGTACTTTGCTTCAAAATTCCTTAAAAGCAATAAAAGTTTGAACTAATTATCATCACCACATAACACTAACTGTATGACTAGCTTATTCACAAAGAACCAAATCCTCCTAATGTGCTGCTTTGGATGATCCACAATCTTGAATTAAAAAGTGACTAAATTATATCATTAAAATATGTAGCAAGACAAGCCCCTAATTTTTCACAAATTTAGAAATTAACAAA